CACCCCACACACACACACACACACACACACACAGACACAGACGCACACAAATTGTAATTGCTTCCTGGGTGGTGCATCACTCTTAGGGTAGCGTGTGTGCTCTCATGGAAGACTTACAATCCTGTTAACGAGAGCGATGAGCTCCTCCTCGTCCTTCTGCCTCTGGATGAAGTGGGCCTCGATCAGAGTCTGCAGCTCCGTCAGGTCCTTTTCCATCCGCTTCCTGTGGATGTCCTGCAGGCACAAGGACACAGAGGCAGGTTCTGATCGAAAAACGCTCCATTTGTTCAAACGGACATATAAATACTAACGCTAATCAGATGCTAATTGTTAAACCCCACCTTTTAAAAACCTTTAAGGCTTGAAAGTTGACTCTAAAATAGTATTTACTGTAGTTTCTGCCAAAAACAAAGCGTATGTGTGATTTAAAACACAAATAAATTGTTTAAATGGTTTTGGGGTTCCACAGGGTTCTATCTTAGATCCACTGCTTTTCTCCCCTTTATCTGCTTCTGTTGCACAGGATTTTGTTTCATCCATCTAACTAGAGTTGGACAAACATCATTAGATGTTGGCAGAATTCTTGTTTCCACTCATTGTTACTCAGAACAAGAAGGGTTAAAAGAATATTTTACACAAAAAGTCTTGAAAATTATATTGTTTACTTACATCAAAGTCAACTTTTTCTCCCTCAGGCATCTTTGGAACGGTTATCGAAGGAGCAAAAGCCCTGAAATAAAACAAACTTGTTTAGAATAAATTCACAAATTCTGAATTAAAAAACTGGGATAACAAATAATACGTACTTTGGTTTGGGCTTGGACTCATCTGTAATGAGGACAAAAAGCACATTTTAGCTTCATTTTGCTGTAAAACATTAATTTTGTCTAAATGTTCTTATGATTAGGGTTAAGGTATTTGTGGTACTATGCTGAAATTGTTTAGGTCATATTTAGCTAACAGAKCTGTGTGGTTCTGCTTTGTGTTTTGGGGTTCCACAGGGTATTATCTTAAGTCCCCTGCTTTTCTCCCCTGCTGGATTCAATACTCAGGAAGCACAGGATTTTATTTCATTGTTATGCTGAGGACAAAGATATATTCTTCTTAAATTAAAAGTAAAAAAATCAAATGTCTAGTTTAAATTTTAGCTCTGTGTTGTTTGCGATCATACAGATGGGAAATTATTAAATTTTGTGTTCCGTCAGGATGTTGGCATACCTTCATCTGCAGACGGCAACTCTACAGAATGACAGAAATGTCAGGGAATCAACATAAATACAAAGACATTTCCATTGTAACTTTTCTAAACTACACAGTGTTGCCAGGTGGGAAATGTTGAATTATCGTATCAGCAGCTCAAAATGATCGTATTTTCAGGAAAATTATCGTACAC